ATCAGCAAGATTCTTTAAACCTGACACAACATCAACCTTGTTTGATTTAATTTAATTTTATTCAATTTCAGTTCTCAATTAAATTAAATTCGATGCATCTCTTGGTTATTTTTATATATTTTATTATTTTAGAGGTTTTTTTATTGTGTATAATTTGGTTACTCATACGCACCGGTGCCCCATACTGGGAGAGTTACATAAATTGATGGTAAGAATAAAAAAATAATAAATATTTTGTAAATCCAAAAACTGCAATATTCCTATAAATATCTGTTGAAAATAAATTTAATAAAAAAAAATATTATTTATCACAAAAAACTATTACGTGGAGTTGGAAAATATTAGGAAAAAAATAAAACAGAATACTCGTAAACACATTTTTTCTAAATGTAATAATTTCAAATATTTGCTTCAATCGCTGGGACGGGTAAAAGAAGGAAAAAGAAAGTTTTTCATCGCACAGAAGTGCTTAGCGTTAGCAAAAAAGGGAAGAAATTGCGTTTCATAAGGAGAACGCCAGCTGGATAGGGCCACATTAGTAGCTCCGCAAGCTTGTTTGGAAGGTTCCTAAGTATGCAAGTTAGAGTTCGAACACCAAGTGATTACCAACTGTTTCCGTCTATGAAGAATGATTTTGCCTGGTGAAACACTGGCCTCATGAGAAGCCTGTGCAAATTGGTAGACCGAATTTTTTAGCCAATAAAGACAAGTGCTTCTATGAGAGAGGCCTTACTGACATTGCTATCGCGCCAATTTTTCCAGAACATTTATGAAAATCCTTTTAAATGCCATTTGCTAACTTTACTACTTAAATGTATATACTTTTTTTATTTTAATTTATTTTCAATTAAATTTTCCCCACAACTTATTTGATTTAATTAGCAAATTTTTCCTTTTTTGGCATATTTAATTAGTAAAATTGCGTAGGTTTTATAATTAGTTTTGCGGTTTCTAGCAAAAAAAAAAAAAAAAAAAAAAATGAAAAAAGAGCTGTAAAGCGGCATTACCCACAACAATAACAAATATAATCAAAAACAAAACTGCCTCTAAGTGCCACTAACTGAAAAGGCGCAACTTTATTGTCTCTTTTGTGGCTTTTGTGGCGCTTTTGTAATTTTGTTGCAAGCGATATAAAGATGAAGAAGAAAAATAAATAAATTAATGAGCATATTTCTATCTAAACATAAATACATACAAATATATGTAAATGTGATGTGTACATTGCGGTCAATTATGTGGCAATGAGTTGGTTGGGAAACAATGGCAGGGAAGTAATAAGAAATGCAAATTAGATGCCAAGCAGGCAGTGCAGGGAAATTATTCAAATAAATGAATGAAAAAAATGTAAAAAAAATTCAGTTTAAAGCATTAAATTAAATAGATGGTATTTATTTTATAAAATTTTAAGGGCGCGACACAAATAATATTTTTTTTTAAATAACTTTTTTTCATATCATTGATATATCTCTTTGAATTTGCTCAAAAATGCACACACGTATGTATAGTTAATGCTATAAACAACATCTAATTAAGAAACCAAAACTAAAGTACCATCAAAGCCAAATAAACTACAACTACAAAGTGCACTTAAATAAAACCGCTAATGCAAAGCATGAAAAAGATCGGTAAAAATTTCAAATTGAAAAGCTAAAAAAAAATAACGAATATAAAACTGGGTAAGGTTCAAAACATGCATACATTTCAAATAAACAAAAAAAAGATAAACAATAAAATTTAAAAAATCCAACAAAAAAAAATAATTAAAATATCTAAAACCAAAAAACTAACAAAAAGTATTAAAAGGAAATATAAATTGAAATATATTGCAAAATAAATAACCGCTCTCATGCAAAACTAGCACAAAAAGCCTCCAACGCGCATAAGCTGCAGAGGGCGGAGAGCAATCTGTGTCGGCATTAGAATAAATAAAAATAAGTTATTTCAACATTTGATGAAAAATTTAAAAACAAAATAAAAAAATCACTAAATTTTGTTTTATGCTAAAAGCTGATTTTTTTGAGCTACCATATTCATATACATGTAATTCATATCTAACGCTACAAACATACACACATACACAAATCAACTAATTTCCCCCGAGAGCCATATTTGGCGAGTAAAACAAAAAAAAAAAGGAATATTTACTCAGATAGTAGTAGCAGCTTTTTAGGCGTTTGATGAAGCTGCGTTGAAGAGTACTTAAATAATATTGGCTGCGAAAATATTTATATGTATTTGTACGTACAAGTATATGTGTATGTATGTAAAGAAATTCAAAATGAAATATTTCAATGCAACGCGAAAGCGTAATAAATAAAAATATGCAGTCAGTTTCTCAGTCAGCTGCAACCAGAGAAGTGGAAAGATGAGTTGAGTAGCGACAAAGAGCAGGAGGAGGTACCTCGCAGAAAATAGCCAGCTTAGCGACAGTGTAAGTACCATTGATAGACGAGCTGAGAGACAGAACGTTATTTATCTACTATTTTTATTTATAAGAACAAAATCTAACAGACAACGAACCAAAGACTCGCAGAGAGCCATCGTTCACATTGCCAATTGAAAAAATTTTACGTATAAAAAATAGCATTTATTATATAAAAAATTGAGAAACTCACAAAATGAAGTAAAGTGAATTAAGGAGAACCAGCAAGTTAATGGGAGCAAATTTATTTAGAAATTTAGCGTAAAAATGAAGAAAATATTATTGGGGAAAAGAATAAAATAAAATAAAATAAAATAAATTCAACTATGAAAATATAAATGAAAAATGAAATCAAATAAAATAAAGTTAAATTCATAAAGTAAAATAATAAATTAGATTAAATAAAATAAACTAAAACAAAAAAAAGAGGAAAAAATAAAAGGAAAACACTTAAATTAAAATAAATAAAACAAAATGAAATAAAAATAAGGTAAAATAAAATAAGGTAACATAAAAAATATATAATTAATATGAATAAAACAGATTATAAAAAAATAAATAAAATAAAATTAAGTAAAATTAATTAATTAAAGCAAAATATATTAAAAGCAAAATAAGCAATAATTATTCAAATTAAATTGATTACTGCAAAATGAAATAAAATGTAAAAAGAATTAAAATGAACTAAGAAAAAAAATTAGTTGAAAATAAATTAAACTAACCTAAAATAAAATATAATGAAATTATTTAAAAATTAAATAAAATAATGAAATAAGTTAAATAACCAAAAAAAATTAAATTAAATGCAGTAAAATAAAATAAACATAAACTGGACTAAAGTCAAGTAAAACTAAATTAAATTAAATAAATCAAATTAAAAAGAAGTATTTAAATATCCCCAAATAAAATAAAATAAGCTCAATTAATATAAATGTGACAACTGAAAATATATAATATAAAATGAAATAAAATGTAATAAAATAAAATAACAGTAAAATAGTACAATGAAATTAATAAACTTAAATTAAATTTTATAACGCAAATTAAATTAAATATAAAATCAAACCAAAAAGTATAAAGTAAAAGAAAATAAAAATTAATAACTAATATATAAAAACTAAATCAGTTACATAAATTAAAACGAAATAAAAGTAAAATTTAAATAAAGTGTAATAAAAATAAATTAAATAAAATAAAAAAATTAATAAAATATTAAATAAATTAATGAATAAAAACAATAAAATCAAATATTAAAAAATATAGAATAGAAAGGAATTTAATAAACTGAAATAAAATCAATATAAAATAAATTAACATAAAAAAACCTAATATAAAATGAAATAAAATAAAATAAATTAAATTACATTAACCGAATTAAGATAAATCGAAAGGGATGATAAGCAAATTACCGTAGCTCAAGATATGCCTGCTATAAATGTAGTGTTCTATAAATTTTTAGAAGTAGAGTTATTATTATTAATAATATTATTATTATAACTTTTAGAAGTAAAATTTTAGAAATAACACACAAAACATGCAGAATTCCATTAAAAGAATTTCTTTCAGTGAAAATTGGCAACATTGCAAGCGATAACTATTGAAAACCCATTTAAAAACTTAAGTGAGCTACACAAAGTATTTATCAACACTTTACGCTCTATTTTGATTAACCGTATGAAGCTATTTTCTAAGGTAAATTTGGCAACAATGCACCTTCTTAGGTATCCACGTAATTGTTAAAACAAAAACAAAAGGCCTCTTTTGGTTTGCAGTTGTTTTTTGGTTATTTAGTGCACCAAAAAGTTATTTTATACCCAAATAAAACTTTCTTTCGCAAGAGAAAATAAAAATCTCTTTCGCAAGAGAAAACTGGCAACACTGCACAAGTTGCCATTATGAAAACAGAGATAACTAAATAAAATCAGTTCATAAAATAATACAAATATATATATAAAAAAAATACAAAGAACACAAATAAAGCAAGAACACAGCACTCAGTTCCGGTGGTACCGAATACTAGATATACTGTGGAAAGCAGGTCTTTTGAGGGAAGTGAGTATATTACTAGACCCATTTCAGCCATACTTTGTAGGACTTGTAGGATCCATCAAAAGTAGCATGTCTCCCAAACTGCTGATGAATGGTAAAAGTATTCGATCTTGAGTCCAGTGAGGGATGGAAAGCAAGCACATATTTTTTAATTTTTTTAAGCGACTGCGCCCATATTCAATTCATCTTTGTACTAAACCAGTTGACCGGTTAACATATATATTTTTTTAATATTAAAGAGACGGTAAATTTGGTCAGATTTTCATTCGTAAGAAAAAAAACCTTATCTGTATTCATTTTCTTTATTTCTCTATACTAAAATTATATTCAAATCCCTTCAACTTAACCTCACCGATATACCCAACAGTAGCTTAATTTGATTTTTATTAATTTTTTTCTTTAAAGCTCTTTCTTCTATGTGGTGTATGTGTGTGTATGTATGTATATGGCAAAGAAAAAAAAAAGAACAAGACAAGGAACACTATTTTGTTTTGTGAAACGTTAAAAGTTTTTGAATACTACTACTCACTGTAGGGCTGTGGGCGTGTTCCATAAAGCGGCTCTTGTAGCAGCGGTGATCGACCGTTTCCAATCTCCTTAACTGCAATTAAAGAGAGAAGACAGTAGAGTAGAGTAGAGTAGTTGTTGTGGAATTGAATTTGAATTTGGAATTTTTGAATTTGCAAGTGGTAGTAGTGGTAGTAAGTAGTTGTTGTTGTTGTTTTTGTTGTTGCTGTTGTTGTTGTGGCAGTGAATATAAATCACTTTTTAATTAATATTTTGAAATTAATTCGAAATTATTTAACAAAAGTTGCTGTTTTATAAACAAACAAAAAAACACAGAATTTCTCTTTAATTGACATATTGAATTAGTGTGGATAATTATGTTATACATACACGCACCCACATACCTAAACGCAGTGAGTGTGGCTAGAAATATGACATTTTTTTAACTTCCTTTGCAAATTAATATATTATATACACATATATATATATTTTTATCAATTCATGAGTTAGTGGCTGGTCAAGAAATACACATAAAATGGAAGAAAAAAAACTTTTGTTAAAATTTGAGCTAAAAAATAAACAGAATAATAATGGAAAAGCTTAAGTGAATTTTTCATAAATCTCATAATTCAATACATTTTAGTAATACTATTCAGACTTAACATTGACTATCTTAATGACGCTGCTTTGAGTTTCGTCTATTTATCGATTGCTTTGAACTCTCACTTTATCTATAAATTTTAATTTTAATGTCGAGAGCAAAAATCGATTATTTTAATTACAAAAGAAAATAAAATTTTATCGATATTTATATCTATGTAAACATATATTATTTTTCCTTATTGTTGAAACTTTTTGCATTTCATTTTATTTCATTTTATTTTAGATTACTTTATTTTATTTTATTTTATTTTATTTTATTTTATTTTATTTTATTTTATTTTATTTTATTTTATTTTATTTTATTTTATTATAATTTGTTCTATTTCATTTATATTTTAGTATTTCTTCTGATCATATTTGATCGCATTTCATTTTGTTTCATTTCATTTTATTTTATCTTACTTTTTATTTTTAATGATATTCTATTTAAATTTATTTTATTTTAATTTTGTTTAATTTATTCCATTTTTACAATTTATGATTTCATTTTAATTAATTTTTTTAATTTATTTTATTTTTATTAAATTTATTTTATTTTGTCTCAATTTAATTCTTTAATAACAGCTTTAGTATATTTTTTTATTTTATTTTTTTTTAATTTATTTTATTTTATGATATTCTTTTTTAATTTAATTTGATTTAAATTATTTTATTTCATTACTTTTTATTCGTTATTTTTTATTAAGTAATTTTATTTTAGTTTTATTTTACGTATAGGTTTTACAGCTCATCGTTCCTTCGTCTGTGGTATTCGCCGTTGTGTATGAGCAAAGGACCATATATCGTTCGCAAAACTTGACATCGTCCACGCCTCTGTGCCAAATAGTAGGACGGGTATGTTGAGCTACTTGTAAAGTTTGGTTTTCGTTCGCCGAGAGAGGACTTTACTTCTCAATTGCTTTCAAAATAGCACCTGTTGGCAAGAGTGCTACTGTCTTGGATTTCAAGACTGACATTATTGTTGGTATTGATGCTGGTTCCTAGATATAGACGAAATAATCTACGAATTCAAAGTTATGCCTCACAACAGTGACGTGTGAGCCGAGTCGATAACTGTTTGTATGATGACAGGCGGTATTTCGTCATTCGTTGGCATAAGCCAGGAAAATTAGACGAGTAGTATTTTAATTTAATTCAGTTTTTGTTTATTTTGTTTTATTTTTTTTAGTTTCAATTATAATTTTAATTTTGATTTCAATTTAATTTTTTTATTATTTTATTTTTAATTATAAATTTAATTTTAATTTAGCTTTAATTTATTTTGTATCGTTTTATTTTATTTTAATATTCATAAATTTAATATTATTTATTGAACTTTATTTTAAAATACTTAAACTTAATTTAAATTCAATTTAATAGAAACTTTCAGTTTCGAATTAATTTCTGAAAGTTTTTTCCCCAGCGTAGATATCCCCTTCAAAATAGTGTATGTCTATTTAAAATTGTAATACTATTTTGAGCTTAAGCAGCGAAGAAATCCAGGTCAACTTCATGCGTTTCGTATTCACATATGGTAAAAAGCTGAATTAATTAAAATTTATAGGCTGTCGCCGTCAGTCACCGCTATTTGAAAATGCGCAAGTGTTTGGCGATGAAGTGGTAGCCCGTATACCTACATACAGACATATGTTTGTATGCGCATACATATGCCCGTATGTAGAATTGTTCTAACCAAAAGTGATCTATAACTCAGTTGACTTGACCGTGTGACAGTCATTCAATGCAGTCAGACTGTCGTTTAGTCAGGCTGGCTGTTAGCAACCTGTTTTGGCTCAATGCACTATTGCAGCTGCAGCACGAACTCACAAATGCGGGTTATGTGAGTCAAGGTTGCCGCAAAAATCTATGTAAAGTGGTGCAAAAACAACAAAAAAAAACATACGTGTATACAGAAAAAATCTAAAGTATAAAAAAGGTAAAATAATCAAGAAGAAATAGAAATAGAAAAATTTACAAGCATAAAATATTATGTGCTCACAAGCGAGCATTTAATTGCAATACAATAACTACAACAACAACAACAAGTTATGCATAACAAACGAGCATTCATAACAAATCTCCATTCAACATAATTGATATGAAAAATCCACCAGTAGTGACTGTCGAACTGGAGAGACCTCTCACTCACAATCTGCCTGCCTGGGAACAGTGTGTCGAAAAAGTGCTGCAGCTTCACATTAACCGCCAACTCCACACTCATACACAAGTGTGTAGGTATGTAGTGCACTACATGTTAGTTGTTGTTATAATTGCAGCTCAGTATTGCCAATTTTGTAAGCGCAATTCGCTTGACCGCTTTAGAATGCTGTCAAATGCACATTTATTTCGAAAAATAAAATTTAAAAAAATATATATAAAAACTAAAAGCAAAGAACATGTGAAAAATAATGTTAAGCGTACGTTCTACTGCTTAGCTGTATAAATATTTATTGCTGCTGTTTTAATGGCTTTCAATTACAAATATAGCACGAAAACGCTGTTTATGGCTTGCCATTTGAGTTTGGGGGAAAAAACTGCTGATTATTTTTGCTTGCTTTGCATTTGGTGGCTTGTTAATTTTAATATGGTATTTTGAGAGTTGTAGGCAATAAACGCATATATATTTAAAATGAAAAAATAAATAAGTATATAACCACTTATTTTCTATTTGGTAAATACTTATAAGGGGAAAATGTCAAAAATATTGACTATTGCATTAAATTCTTCATAATAATTTTTGATTTATTTCGGTTAAATGAGATGCAAGTACAAACTGAGTTGAGTAAATATATAAATAAGTTTTTGTATAGTTATCGATGGCTTCTTATATTATGTGAAATATTTTTTTTATATTTATTTTTTCGCCCTTTTATCCAATGCTTAGAATATGTTAAATACTAAATTCTTTCCAAATATATATTTCGACAATCGACTTTTTATTAACGATATATTTCGATAACAAACTGTTTATTATTGGCATATTTCGACAAAGAAATTTTCACTATAATATATTTGTATAACCGACTTATTTATCGATACATAATCGATTATATAAGCGATATATTTCGATAACTACCTATTTAAATTGTATTATTTGCCCAAATATTATCAATATAATTCAATAATTTTTGTTTGGATAACTTTTCAAACTGCGATAGTTTTTATCGATTTGAAATCAGTTTTTAGACACGCCGAATATTTACATGTTATCAATATAATTAATATATTTTTATATCCGAACTTTTTTATCGATATATTTTATATTACCGATATATCTGGATAACATATTGTAGTATGTTTTTATCGATTTAAAATCGATTTTCAGACAGGTCGGTTATATATTGTCGATATCTTTAAATCATTGACTATTTATTGTCAAAAAATCTCGATAATCGCACTTTCGATTTCGACAAAGTTTGTATTGTCGATTGCATAGCTTTTCAGAAAGGTTTTTTTTGTAAATTTTCAATCGATTTGAAGACCCACCGAATATTTGTTATTTTTATACTTTCCAGATATTTCGCTAACCAATGTTTGGACATCGATGTAAGTTATATTATCTATATTTCTATCAATTTTTCAAATTGAGGTACGTTTTTTATCAATTGCTGTGAATATAATTCGAAAATCTTCATACAGTTATCGATATAATTGATATAACCGATACATTTCGATATCTTTTCAAACAGTGGAATATTTTGTCGGATTAAACTCGATTTTCGAGCATTCACGAATATTTGTTATCAATGTATTTCAATATTTGACTATTTATTTTCCATATATTTCGATAACCGATTTTTTTAAAGATTAATAATCGAGTTTCAGACATGCCGATAATTTTTTTAAATCAAAGGATTTGTCATTGTTTGACGGCATTATAATTTTACTATCAAAATGGAAGAGAAATTAAAGCGTTCCGTCGGAAGTAGTCGGTTTATTGGATTTCATTTTAAAGCCCGGTAATTTAAAAATATTTCGCTTTTATTTGCTATAGAAAATCACAATATATTCCTATACTTAGCGTTTACATATTGTTGTTTGTACATTGAAAATGTGTCGTTAAGAAGCAGCAGTATCTTTTGTTGATATTATAATTTTTAATTATGCCAATAACCTATTACTAACCTAAACTATTTCGATAATTTCTCGATATATTTGCATTTTTTTATACAAATTTTGAAGAATATCTCCAGCTTGAGCTCACAACTTTGATTATATATGGTAAATATTTCCGATAATATATCGATAATCGAATTCTTATTTTGTTATCGAAATATATAAATTTCGCATTGTTCAACATTTAAAAATATCTGGACAATTTACCGTTTATCTGTAGATACAGAAATACGTATGCTCGATAATTTATCGATAAATTTGTTATCGAAACTTGAAAATGGTTTTTTTTCGACCACTAGAGAGTAAACGATACTCGATTTTGAGCATAAGAATTCA